AAACATCCACATGCAATCCTGATTAAAATTAACACAGGACTCAGAGCAAATGAATTTTTAGAAGAACAGTATAAACAATGTACACATACTAGGGTTCGTTAGCTAAAACTGCAGTTCAATGGCACACAAAATGTTTAGTTAAAACAATTATTCTCAAACAATACTATAAAGTTATAAATTTATTTAAATTCCAAAATGTTGTATGTATCTGACAAAAGAGTTTCAAAGCGGATCCCTTGAAAGGCTCTTCACTTATTCAAGTGATGCTGCCACTGGACACTTTTAAAATTTCCTTTTAGTACTTTGTAACATGGCTACAGCACACTCTTTGAGAAAGAACCAAAGTGATTTGGAGCTAAGTCTAAAGAAGATGGGTGACCAAGCAAGCAGCAACCCTTCAGGTCAAAAAAAGTGAGGCTCAGCACAATACTAGTTCTCCCTTGCAAGTGGGAACCTCTGAAGATTTTCTCCAGAGAGGAACGGCAGCATTGCTGGAATCAGTATGGGATAAGATGCTCACTTTGAATTCATTCCACACATTCCATGAGGAAATGTGCCAAGTTCTGCATGAGACCATTGGAATATTTTTAAAAGCCTCTTATCCTTATAAAATAGAAAACCCACTCAACTTATGGCATAAGTGACCATAAATGACAACTTGCACAATCTCTTTAACAATGGATCTCAAGATGATTTAGGAATTTATAAAATTTAGGAATACAACTTGGATAACTAAGGCTGTCAGAATTTTTGGCACCTTCTTCTCTGGAGTGCTGAAAGCTTCCTATCATGCCAGACCATTTGGAATGGCTGAACTTAAAGGCACTGGGCCAGTTGACATGTCCCACATATGTCAAATCAGATTCACTCTGAGTAATTATCAGTGCTTTACCTGAACTCACTATCATCCCTGCAAATCTGTACACCCCCCTGCTATATCACTTAATTCAGTAAATCATACCATCATCCTCTGTAAAGTTGACAGAGACCTGGCTGGTATCTTAATTCATGACTCTCTTTACTCCCCAAATTCAATTTTTCATAGAATTCTACCCATTTTACCTCCTAAGTTTGCTTAATATCTCCCTTTTACCATCTCCACTGGCAAAACCTTTCTGGCCTTAGCAGCTGCTAAGGCCTGCTAACAGCTGTCCTTTCCACCATGCCTTCTAGGCTCCCTACTTCCACCCCAAACACAAATCTACACTTCTCCCGTAATTTCTCCACCCTACTGCCAGACTGGTATCTCTACATGATGCCCACGATGCCTTCTCTTGCTTACGTTCCTTGGTGCCTCCAGGTTTCTGCACAATGCACTCACATCATCTGACGCCTGGGTCCCAGCCTCACCTATCCGTCTTTATCATAATCATATAGTTCAGCTCCTACAGGGCTACTATCTGTTTCTTAAAAGTAAAATCCTCTCTCATACCTCTATGCTTTAAACAGGTTGCACCCTCTGCCTAGAATGTCTTTTCCAAACATTAGCAAATTTCTACTTATTCCTCAAACCTGAGATCAGTGTTAAGTCTCTGTGAAGCCTCCTTTTACCTCCAAGAACAATTAATGACGCAAATAATCTTAGTTCAATGTATCGCCTTCCACTGGACTACAATCTCCTTGAGAGCAGGGACTGGGGTTCACTCCTCTGTAAACCCATTGACCCTAGCACACAAAATACTCAATAAATTCTCCTCAACAAATTGAATGAATCATATACTAGGAGAGATCAGCAACTTTTGCCACTGAACACATTTCTGTCCACAGAGAAATACCGATTTTGGCCCAGGTCAAACCCTGAATTAGAAGACTTCCTGGAAAACACTCTATACTCTGGGCTGTCCTAATAAGCGACCACTCCTTAGGGGAAAGGGTAAACAGCCCCCGGTTATCAATATCATTGCACGATTATTCACTGTCTACTTAAAAAACACTCAGCCAAGGTTATCCAGATATAAAAAGTTTTAATGCAGAATTACTGCCTTCTTAGGCTTACAACTCTGAGTCACTCTAATTCATAAGACCTTCCATAGGCCTCTCTGATTAAAATTAAAGTACTATCCACAACTCACAGCCTTTTTATAACCTGGAGGGTATACCAACTACCCCCTCCAGCCCACCACAGCTCCCCTGTCAAAATAATCTCTAGCCTGTAGGCACCGTAGGATGTACAGAGACCTAAAAATATTAAAGAAAAAACAATGTTATCATTTGGCTTAGCTTATGAGACATCTGCCTTATTGAAATACAGGTTGACATGCAATTTCTACCTTAAGTTTTGCATAGCAGTTCTGCAGATGGTCCATATCACTTCCCAGTTTCAGATTCTGTGTTTCTACATTTTCCTGAGCTAGAAGGTTCTTCCGCTGAAGTACAAGTAGCTCATTCATACAATTTAAAACAGCAACTATATTTAATTCTCTCTTTGTGTCTTTACCTTTGGATTCTTCATATAATGAAGGAAAACCGAAAGTAGTCAATTCCTGGTAGGAGAAAATGTTTTCCTCAAAGTTGGTTATCAGACAACTAAGTATAGAAACAAAAGACAGAAATATTTTCTGAGAAATCATAAAAACTACCCCGAGTTAAGAAAACTGTAAATATCCCAAAGGACAAAGAACAGAGAGAACTGGGCTCTTTTAGCCTCTGCTCTGCAATTGCCTGTATCCTGGAGCAAGGCACTCAGGTTTCTGCATCAGTAAAGTAAGGGAGAGACTCCAAGTGGAAGAGCCCCTAGGGTGATGTGCAGGCCAACCTGCTCCTGACAAAAACATTTACCATGTATCCAGACTAGATGATCACGGTGGTTCTCTGCATTTCTAGTGTGTTTAAGTCCCAGGCCGATACATAACAACATACATGTGCTTAACAAGTGTTTTTCTCATAACTTCGATATGTTCTATTATATAACATGATTTATGCTATTCTTCTCACAAAACATTTTTTTTTACCTGATCAAGATATGAAACACTTTGTTCAATATTCTCCTCTGTGCAGAAGGCACTGAAAAAACTGTGCACATTTTTTGATAAAGGTATTGAAGAACATAGCACTTGCTGTGAGTATAAACTTGATGGAGACATCTTTGTTTCTGAGGTATATTGACAGATATTTTTGCTTTCTGAAAGAATAAAAGGTATTTACTTAAACAATTTATAAAACACATGCAAAGAAAACTATCTCCGTTACCAAAGATGTTGAATTATATAAATATTTTTAAAAATTTTCAAATTCAGACAAAGCTGGTTTTTGTAAGAAAACTACACAAAATTGACCCTTGAACACTGCACTGACTTCCAACACAGCTGAAAAATCTGTATATAACTTCTGATTCACCAAAATTTAACTACTAATAGCCTACTGTTGACCAGAAGCCTTATGAATAACATAAGCAGTTAACACATATTTTGTATGTTACGTGTATTATATACTGTATTCTTCCAAAAAAGGAAACTAGAGGAAAAAAAGTGTTATTTAAAAAATCATAAGAGAAAATAAATATGCAGCATGGTACATTTATCAAAAAAAATTCTTGTATAAGTGGACCCACAAAGCTCAAATCCATGTTATTCAAGTCAACTGTACTTTTTTTTCAAAAAGATACAACTATCAAGTGCCCTTTGGAGGCATGTTAAGATACAATAGATTCTTAGTTTATACTATTTCAGATTTATAAAAATAACAGAAAAAAACCACCTATGTCAAAGTTTATATATTAAAGGAATAAATCAAAGTGTACTGAAGTAGCCAATAAACTCATTTCAAATGCATAAACGTTTCTCGCAAAAATAGTAACAATCAAACTCATCATCCGTCAAAGGCATTTAACCCCACTTAAGTATGGCACAATTCTTAGCTTTCCCAGATAATTTTTCTCAAAATAAAAATTTAGATATTTTACAATTATTTATGTCTCTCTCTAGTCACATCTTCAATATCTGTGGTAAATCATTTTACAGTTTCATTTAAAAATCCACCTTTACAATTACTGATTTAGTTTATACTTATTTTAGACTCAGGTACCTGAAGACAGATCTGGATCTGTAACAGTCATCCACTCTCCCATAGCAATCACCAGAGCCAGGATACCTGAGGAACCAGTTCAGCAGTGAAACATTCAGTCCAGCTGCTGTCACTCTTCTATGTAGGCATCTCCTTAAAAAGCAAATCAGAAAATAACAGCATTTAACCAAAAATAAAAGCAAATATAAAATCAATGTGTAAAAAGAAGGATTTTACATTATTTACTCCTGCACTCCCATGGTAGAGCAGAATGATAATCTGTGTCCATGTATGCACGTGTGTGTATGTGTGTTTAAGAATCAGGAGTAAAGAGGGATGCCTGAGTGGCTCAGTTGGTTATGCATCCAACTTTGGCTCAGGTTATGATTGCACGGTTCATGAGTTCGATCCCCGCGTCGAGCTCTGTGCTGACAGCTCAGAGCCTGGAGCTTGCTTCGGATTCTGTGTCTCCCTCTCTCTCTCTGCCCTTCCCCAATTCACACACTGTCTGCCTCTCTCTCAAAACTAAATAAACATAAAAAAAATTTTTTTTAATTAAAAAAAAGAATCAGGAATAAAGAGTTCTAGTAAAGTATTCATATTTTTTCATATACGTAGTACACAGTACATGATTTGACTCAGAATATAAATCTAGGTACAGCATTGTTGTACTAATAGATATTTCTATATTATATTCTCTAAGATAAAGTACAAAGCATTTATACAGATAAGAGAAAGAAAAACTTCTTAGATAGCATTCTCCTTTTTTGTTTTTACTAACTATATTAGCAAAAAAAAAAAAAAAAATTTAATTGCAATTCCCAATGGTGGCACAGATGTAGAAAAAAGCATACTCCCATACACTGCTCGCCACAAAGATCACATCAATTTATACAACTACCAGCGATTTGGCAATATGTACCAAATCTTAAAAATGAAAACACATTTTGACCTAGAAAAATTACTTGTAAAGTTTTACCCTGATAAAATAATGATTTATGCTCATTTCAACAGCACATACACAAAAATTGGAACAATACAGAGAAGATTAGCATGGCCCCTGTGCAAGGATGACACACAAATTTGTGAAACATTCCATATTTTTTATGTGGAATTTAAGAAACAAAACAGATTAACATGAGGGGAGAAAAAAGAGAGAGAGGCATAATAGGAAAAAAAGACTCTTAACTACAGAGGACAAAATGAGGGCGATGGAGGGAGGTGGGTGGGGGGATGGGCTAGATGGGTAATGGACATTAAGAAGGGCACTTCTGATGAGCACTGAGCATTGTATTTAAGTGATAATCACTGGATTCTACACCTGAAACCAATATTACACTCTACGTTAACTAACTGGAATTAAAATAAAAACCTGAAAGTAAAAGAAAAAAGATTTGTACAAGGATTCATCTACAAGTTGTTCTTGACATCAGAAATAGCTTGTATGTTCCACAGGAGACTGGTTAAATAAATGACACATTTATACAACAGAACACCTTTAAACACAACCATGTGGAGTTAGGGTGGTTAAAAAATACATGAGAGGCCAGAAATATGTATGAATGAAGTGGACTAATTATAAGAACCTTTCATATAACAGTTTCAGCCTACCATCATTTCCACTTTTTTATAAAGAAAAATGGAAGAAATAAATACTTCTACACCGTAAAAAAATTCAAATGAAATTTTGTGAAATCTCCTAATGTTAGAAGCTAATTAGAAAATTATGCAAGTACCCTGTGGAAGGGGCAGTGGCTTGGAAGGAGGATGTGAAAGAGCCTTTTCCACAGTGATCCGAGATGGCTGCACAAGTATACACATTAGTACAATCCTTCAAGTTGTACACTAAAGATCTGTGCACTTAACTGGATGTAAGTTACACTCCAAACAACATTTTTTAATAAGCCAAATAAAAGGCCGGATCTGGATTATGAAACAAAGAATTCACAGCCCGTTCTGAATATTTAAGATTATGGAAATATTCATAATGTAATACTGAAATGAGAGGAAATTTTTCATTCATTCAATATATTTTTAATTGTGCTACTGTGTGCCAGGCACCCTCTTCTAGGCACAGGGGAAGCCCTGCTCTCAAGTTTACATTCTGGGGGAGGGGGGGAGGGGTAGAAATAGATAACGAGACAATAAATTAACCTAACACAGAGTGATAAGAACTATAAAGAAAGCTAGGCACAGTAACGTGAGAGTCCTGGAGTGGGGGTATCTAGATTCATCAAGGAAGGCTGCATCGAAATGTTGACATTTAAACTGAGACGTAAATGATACCCAGTCAGCCACAAGATGTTCCAGCCCAGGTAGAAGAAACGAACTTGGTAAGAATGAAAACCATAAAGAAGGCCAGTATCTCTGAAGTACACAAGGACAGATGGTAGGAAGGTAGATTTTCTCAAAGTAGCAGTGCAAAGCCATGGAAGGCATTTAGGCAGTAAATCAACAGGATCTTCTCTAGGCTTTGAAAAAGATCACCTCAGCTACTCTACCCCCTGAATATATTGCAGGTGGGCAATAATGGAGGCTGGAAGATATGAGGCTACTGCATGAGTTCAGGCAAGAAGACACTTTTTTTTTTTTTAATTTTTTTTTTTCAACGTTTATTTATTTTTGGGACAGAGAGAGACAGAGCATGAACGGGGGAGGGGCAGAGAGAGAGGGAGACACAGAATCGGAAACAGGCTCCAGGCTCTGAGCCATCAGCCCAGAGCCCGACGCAGGGCTCGAACTCACAGACCGCGAGATCGTGACCTGGCTGAAGTCGGATGCTTAACCGACTGCGCCACCCAGGCGCCCCAAGAAGACACTTTTACATTACAGCTTGAACAGAAATAGACACAGGTAGATAAATTAGCGATGTGTTTTGGAGATAGAATCTTCAGGACTTGGAAGATGGGATTAAAAATACACAGAAGAGGGGCGCCTGGGTGGCGCAGTCGGTTAAACGTCCGACTTCAGCCAGGTCACGATCTCGCGGTCCGGGAGTTCGAGCCCCGCGTCGGGCTCTGGGCTGATGGCTCAGAGCCTGGAGCCTGTTTCTGATTCTGTGTCTCTCTCTCTCTCTGCCCCTCCCCCGTTCATGCTCTGTCTCTCTCTGTCCCAAAAATAAATAAACGTTGAAAAAAAAAAAAAATAAAAAAAAAAAATAAAAATACACAGAAGAGAAATCAAGGATGATTTCTAGGTCATAACAGCAGCCTATAATACATACTAATGCAAATTATGTGCTGTATTACATGTTACAATGTCACACACATACAGGTGGTTACCCAATCCGGCACCAATTTTTGCTATTTTTCTACTCATGTGCCTTAGCAAGAGCACCTTGAACTATTTTGCACTTCCCTCTGTCCTTAAATGGGTGCCTTCAGGAACAGGATAAGCAGGATAAAGGTCTGCACCAAGAAAGACAATGATTTCACTTTTTGCTTTCAGAGCTAGCAGCCATAAACAAAACAGGATCTAAGGGACAATAAACCCGTCTATACCAGCCCAGCTCTGCTTTGGTTAAGTTACTTAACCTCTCCAAGCCCTACTTTCCTCACTGGTAAAATGACATAATAATGGCTTACTTCATGATTTTCCCTGAGGATTAAGTGAGCTCAAGCACATAAAGTACTTAGCACACGACTCGGCATATGGGACACACATAATTACTATGAGTTGTCATCATCACCATCACCATCATCATCATCTGGACACAGATCTGGACTGCTTGAGATAAATGACAGGAGATTCCATAATCTATATAACAAAAGGCACTGTTGCTCTTAATGATAAAAGTTGAACACAAATCCTGAGAAAATGTGGAGGCAGATATTCTCATAAAAACACAAATTTTCAGTGGGTTAATTCTTTGTAATCATTACATAGAGGGGAGGCATCATATCAGAAGAAAATAGGCACTTTCCCAAGCCCTTCTTGTTTTTGTTTTGTTTTTGTTTTTTTAAATAAGACACAATACTGCCTTAAGTACCTTTTGTCTTCATACATAACAGAAAGATCAAACACCAAAATGTCTGCTATACATCCATTCTTTAAAATTGTAATTTAAGTCAGTTATTCTTCTTCTGTGAATGTAGCTCTGTCCACTGTCTACAGGTTTAGACAGTGAATTTGTTAATTAAAATAACAAAAACAATAAGAAACAACCAACTGTGAAATATTCAGGTCTAGTTAAATGTTCACAATGAAAACCAAAACTCCACTTTGAAGCTCTACCAAAAAAAGAACTTAACCAACAGTATCTGACTTCACACAATCTAAAAGTTTCTAAGTATCCTCTTCTGTTCAATGATGCACCAAATTATACGCCAGAATGCTTGTAATAAAAGAAGTTGCCCAACCAGACTATTAATCAATATACATCCCCAAACCAAGAGACTAAGTTAAGCAAGTTATTTCTAGCTCAACCACAGCTAAATTTCAGTAAGGATACCAACTATTTTTTATAAAGATATTATAATAAATTAGTATTAACTTCAAAAGATAAAGAAAAAAGCTAACAGGAATATATCTGCTCTGCATAAACCTAACACCATCACAAGTATTTCAACTTTGAAAGCTTCAAAAGCAGCCAAGAAGGACCCCATTAAAGCCAAGTGCTGAAACACACAATGAAAAGTTCCACATAATAGATAAATCAAGTCATAGCAAATCATTACACAGTGAACCATGAGCACCCATGACAAGTCACATAAGAACAAACTTGGTTATACTAGCATTGTTATTATAGATTCACTATAGAAGGAGAAAAGGAAAAGGTCTATTAGTAAATCATTTCAGATTCAAGTAAATTGCAACCCCCATTTCTCTCCATATACCACTGGTTAGGGAAGCTGTCTGGATTCCAAGACAGATGAAATTCATGAATGAATTTTATGAGCAAATCTTGAAGACTGAAGAATTTAACCATCCTGTAAAAGTCCTTTCATTCATCTAAAATTGTTGAGGAATAACCCTGAAATAAATTAAAGAAAGAAAACATCTATAAAGTAATCCATAAAAATTCTTTCTCCTATCCTCTACATCAGAGAGTTTTATTCCCTCCTCGTGGGTAACATATATATAGACATCTAAAAAACTTTCTTGATTCCAAGTATTTCTCAATGTACATTCCAGTAAGTCAGTCTACATAACAAATAATCTTACTAATTTCAGCAAAACTGCAGTAATTTCTGTAAAAATGTTACCTTACTCTTTTCTGAAGAACTACTTTGGCTTCCTTAATATGTTGCCAAAGTACCAATGCCATATTTCGAGTATAAATAAGCAAGGGTACTCTAGTCTTTCCTGGGTAAAATTATTATGCAGAACTTAAGAATTGTCTAGTGGCATTTTCTAGGTTAGAATCCTAACAGAAAATTGGGAAATGGTAAGACATCTGAAATTAACTGTACCCTTTATGAAAAACGAAGACTTTAGTAAGTTTCATAAGTTTATCATTCTTCATGTCAAAGCATTTTCTTTCATATATATTTATCTATATTACAGACAGAAAACTTGGCTCAGAGAGGCCAACAGGATTGCCTGAGGCCACATTTCTGGTTGGTTGTGAAGCCTGGACACAAATCTGTCTTCAAAACTGCTCTTTTCACTCTGTCACCAGGTAACCTTTCCACACTGTTCACGCAAACCTCTATATATAGAAAAACAAGAGTTAAATTAAAAGTAGAATAGAATAAAAAAGATTTCCATCAAATTTCTTAAAGAGAATGAATCCCACAGTTCACCTGAAATCATTCTACTCAGCATACAGTCCTTAAAAGAACATATCTACTACCTAAATTGAGGCATATGCGTAAACTTTTCTGCTATGCCATAAACAACAGCTTTTTTCCTCATTTAGAAATACTTTGCTTTCAAAAGGTTTAAAAACAATTCTCAGAAATGAATTCAGTTCTATAGAAAGTTTAACGAGGGTGGAATCACTCATCTTACCATTTTGTATTCTAGAGTAAATATTAAGACAACATCAAAACCAAAAGTTTGTAGATGTTTAGCAAAAACATTTGTAGTTCAGGTTAATTACACCCATTGTCTTTTGTTGTTGTTTTGTTTCCATCAGAAAAGTTCCTTGGCTGGTTATTGCTC